AAAATTATCAGTACATGAGACGAAAGAAGCACATTGAATAATTGTAAAACATAAAATTAAGTCTTGGCACTCCTCCTAATGACCTCAAATGTAAGGCTTCATTGATCACGCAAGTTCAACTTAAAGGTTAATTAAAGATAAAGATCAACTTAAAAGTAAATTAAAGATAAAGATCAACTTAAAAGTAAATCTGTTCATGTCCTTTTTTTTCTTTGTTAATTCATCGGCTGAGTTAGCGCTTTGCATTGAGAGATTCTTTTCCCATCGTTTGAACCATCTTCTTCACGTGACTAAGATTGCTAAACACTGATTACTAGCACTAATTATTCCTTTTAAAGTAGAATATGAAGTAGCATGTTTATTTAATTGGTTAATAGTGAATAGAACTACAAAAATGAAAATTACACTTGGGTATAGTGGAATGCAAATAAATTAATAACAGCTCGTTTTAGTTAGAATAAATACTGCTTAATATAATATGTGTCATTTATATATTTCAAGTGTAACACGAAATTTATTATGAAGATGAAAATACCCTTACTTGCTTTCGGTTTTAACATATCAAAAAAATAAAATTTAAATCGCAATAAATTGTGTATAATAATTGAGTAACATGTACATCATCTTGCAATAAAATGTACATAATTCGATTTGCCTCAAAAAAGCATGAGGCTTAAACTACCCTTATAAGACAATTAATACCTTTTACACATAATCGTTTTCTTGAACTTAATTTTATTTCATAAATTGAAAATCTTATTATTTTTAATGAATTTAAAAAATATATATTTAATTAAGTGAACAATTACACTTAAATAAAAAATTGATTACTAATAACTTTACATGTGGTGCAATTAGATTACTAAACTCAACATTGCAAAAATATATACATTTTATTATATTAATATGTACATTACATTATAATGACTTGTACCTATCTTTCTTGAATGGCATTTCCAGTAATTCAATTAATTTTCCATTACACTCAATAATTATTGGATTACACAAATATGTCATTATTGATCAAAAAGAAAATAGGAGGAAAAAGAGAATAGGAAAAAGAGTGAAAAAAAATTATTTGACTTTAGTATAGAACCGTGTGCAAAGGAAACAAAACGTATTAATTATGACAAAATTTTGAGAATTTCAAATTTATATGAATTAGTCATAAAACATAAAATGATAAGTGATAATTTGATTAATAATAATTAATTAAATATTAATCATGAGAGTTATTTAATTTAAAATAAAAATTATAAAAACTTAATTAAATACAATAAAAGAATAAAAATTTATTTAAATTTTTTAAAATAATTCAAACAACTTTTTAGATATTATACCAATTAAATTCTAATTAAATATCTAATGTTTTATTGTGGATGGTCATACGAGTCATCTATCCTTTTAATTTTAAGGGACAATATCATTCAATAGTGGGAACGAAGGGAAGTTTGTATTTGAAGGGATAATCCAGGTTCCAATCTTATAGTAAGATATTGAGATGACATGTTCCAAGGGCCCTAATTTCAATTCAATACTTAATTTACCTTTTTTTCCAAATGGTTTCCTGTGAGGAAGATTGAAAATGGAGCACAAAAAACGATGTTCACACATGGTTCAACGTTTCTTTCATTAATAAAAGGAAGCAACTAATGTACTCCTCGGTGGGATAATAATGATGAAGGTAGGGTAAGCAAGCTATGATGAGAATCCTCAAAAGAGGTTAGGTGCTTGATTAGATTCTTACTGTTCTCTAAAGGTTAAAAGATTATTTTACTCTAGAAATTGAACGTTGAATAAGCACATGGATCAAGATTCAAGAACCAATGGCTTTACAATATCAGTTCGAAATCATATCCACGTTTTAGATATGGATTCAAAGATTTGGGATGTCACAATTTATAAACCCCACCCTTTATATTTAATGTGGAAATTGAATTTTCTAATCTTAAAGTTCATGCTTTAAAAATAGTGGTGAAGTGATTCTTAATTATAGATCTCCAACTATTTATAATCCAAGTTACATGAATGAATTGAAACAATAAATAACAAGGGAGCATGTATCTTTATTGTTGGCATATATATATTAAAAAAAAAAAGAGGATTTGATCTTTATGCCAGCAAGTTGTAATGCTTCACTATTAGCAATGATAGTGCTTCACTCTCACTCCCACTGCAATCGGTAAAAGTGGATTATGTCAAACTTGAGTAGAATACACATATTAATAGAAATAATTAAAAAATAAAATTAAATATTGAATTAATAAGATTAAAAGATTATACAAAATTTATTAGGTACGATTTTAAATAGATATTGTAAATTGCTAATACATTTTTCACACGTCATTGAACTTTTAAACTTAATCTGTTTCGTAAACCAAAATTTATTGGTTTTATCAAATGATTCAATGGGGGTGGTTAGTGGCACTAAACAAAAAAGATGCTGGTAATTCCTTTTTTATGTCAAACAGTTAAATATAAGTACTTACACGTTATGACAATTCAGATTTTTTTTATCATAAATGTAATACTCGCTCTAACGCGTGGAGGTAAATAGTTTTGTGATGGCCCTGGTTGGCAGAAGGTCCACGCAACCCAAAACCGTTGGCAACGTGCAAAGAATGAACAGATGAAATGATAGTAGGATCGTGACCTCTAAACGAATCAAGGTCGAAATGATGTTGAATTCTTAATCGCCCTGTTGTTCTTTGTGGGATTCATAACCTCTTTCCTGCAGGAATTGCATGCAGAAGAACCGTAGGTTGGTATTGAAAATACAATTCACCTGTTTCTGCTTTCACATAGGAGTCCACTTAGACAACAGCATTGCTTCTTTTCTGTATTTGGTTTTGGGAATAAAATAGATATTCCAATCCCATGCTCATGTTTTGCATGTCAAAATGGCAAGTGAAATTGGTAAACATTAAGCTATGTATTTCACCATATTTCCTTTAGTATATCTGATTGAAGCCCAATTTCTCAAACAAATAAGTTTCTACAGCCCAATGCACTTTGTTTTTAATCTTTTACCATTTTTCTTTTTTTTTAAATTTTGATATGTTGGTTTACAGAATAGAATGAGATGAAATAAAATATGTATTTTGTGATAATAAAATAGGATAAAAATAAAATGAAAATATTATTACATAGTTTGGTTAACGGAATGAAATAAGACAAGAATTACTATTGTGACTTATTGTAATGTTTAATTGATAAAAATAATTTTAGAATAACAAAGAAATAAATGAAAAAAAGATATTAATTTTTAAATTTAAAATATTATTGTTTTTATAACAGTAATTGTAAGCCTAAACTCTTTATTATAATTAGGCCCAACCACCAAGTGAGCGTCATGATTTTAATTAGGCCCAACCAGCAGCAAGTAGCTACGGTAAGATCGGATCCATGGTCGTTTCTATCAAATTTGAGCCTTCTTCTAGGAGGAGTAGGGAACCCATTTTACCAGGAGAATATCAACTTCCCTGTCATCCAAATACAGCAACGTAACCTTCTTTTTTTTGTTTTTTGTTTTTGTCTTTTTATGTAATGAGAAATGGAAACATAACTTGCCATTGAATATACTTGTGAAAAATAACACTCAACCAAGTCCTGTCACAAAAGAATCCGCCCTGATCATTCAAATGAAATAATGATGCATAACTCTAGATATGTCAATGGGTATTTTATAATTTGAATGTCTTATATTATTCAATTTGATTAAATAAGATTAAAACAATATATACTTAAGTTTGGATACTAAAGCTACTATCCATCACAAGTTTTGATAATGGTCTTAGAGTATCCACTATATGAATCTAATTATAAATAATGACTTTTAATAATAAACTTTAATTTTATATATATTATACTTTTTGGTTTGTAAATTTTTTATAATTAATAAAATACTTACTAAAATTCATTAATTATTTTAAATATGATTTTAAACTTTAATTTGTTTATGACTTAACTTTAATTTATTAATTTAAATTTTATTAATAATATATAAAAAATACTCTAAAATTTTATTCTAATCGAGTATGGAATGAGTATGGGCATTTAATAAGTTGTGTCTCATATATTCGAATGTGGATTCGATGGCAATTTAAAAAATTAATTGAATATTTATAAGATTTAAGTATTTTATCAAATAATAGGGTACGAGTTAAAATATTTTTAAAATAACAAATACACTACTCATTGACATCCGTATTTAATCTTTGTCAACTTCTTGGCATGGTGAAATGAAAAAGTAAAAAAAGCAAAAAAAAAAAGAAGAAAGAAATTGGTCTTTTAATTCATAAATCAGTACATTGGACCGAAAGTCCAGCATATCCATAGCCCAAATGGCACATGCCTCGGACCGCATTACACATTGCAAGATAATGAACTTCAAACACAGCAGTCAACTACGATATAAATTAACGTACATAAGTATTTAGTTAGTTCAGAGTAATAGATTCATGCATTCTTACGAATTAGAATTTTTTTTTACTCTCAATAATCAAATAAATAAATGATACAATTAATCAATTTCAATTCTATATATGGTTAAAAATGGAGTGAAATGACAAAAGGAAGTGTAAAATCAATTATTCTCAATGCTCTTAATGTTAATCTTTATAATTTAATTAATGTCGATATATATATATATATATATATATGGGGACTATGGAGAACAGTGAAAGCCAACAGAGAGAAGTGGGTTATGGTATCCATTGATTTGCGCAGTATGCTCACTCTAATTGTATCATTAGCGAGGAAATTTAGGAGGTTTTGACTCAGAAAAACAGCCATTAGAGAAACAAGATTACACCTGCAACTTACTTCTACTACTTTAATTCTATTAGCCTACAACCTCTCTTACCTGCTCCACTTGCTTGGCCTAACTATCAAGTGGAGATCAAGAGCCTTTATTTTATTATCAACGATTGTCTAACTATGCTTATATATAAATTAAACATAACAAGCTTCATTACTATTACTTGTCTAGAGTGACAACAATGGAGAATTTCCCTTCATTAGTTTACAGAAACCCCAAGAGAAGGTCCAGGCGATCCAGTAGGTACCTTGGAGTCCGAAGAAGGCCATGGGGAAGGTATGCGGCCGAGATTCGGAATCCGCATACCAAAGAGAGACACTGGTTATGCACATTCGACACTGCTGAAGAAGCTGCCATAGCTTATGATCTTTCCTCCATTTCTTTCAGTGGCATTGAAAGAGCTCGCACCAATTTTTATTACCCTTTCCTGGTTCTTCCTTCTCCTCCACCCTCAACGCCCCCTCCACCGCCCCCAAAGCCGGAACTAGAAGGGGATGACGATGACCCGGAGATGAATTATGTCAATGAAGATGATGAATCTGTTGTTATTGCTTCCATTTTGCAGAGCTTTGCTCGCTCTGCTAGCTGTTCTTTCTATCCTTGAGTTTACGAAGGGCCTGTTCTCTCTGGCGAACAATACAAATTAATGGTCTTGAAAATTGACATTTCTCAGATTGAGATCAAACAAACATTAGGTTTTGTTAAGAAAATCAGCGGATTCTTTTTTTCTATTTTGGTTTTTCAGTTCCTTCGACCTCTTCTATTTTAATCGTATACTGTATACCCTCTCATATTATATGTTCTCGTCAGCACAACCACTGATTAATATGAACAAAATTAAGTAGAGGGACTCGATTACACAAGATCTCATAATACAATGACAAAATAGATCAGTTTTGAATAGAAAGATTAAATCGAGAAAAATACTATGCAGAGACCTATGAAGTAGCTTTACTGTAATAAAAACAGTGTGGTTGGTATTGCTGGATATGGCAATATAGCAATATAATCCTGTCTAATTGTGTAACCTTGAACTAAATCCAAATATTTCCAGTTTAATTTTCTGTCTCTCTTTATTATTTTTTGATAATTGAATCAAATCATGAAATTTTGCTGTAAGTTAGATGTGACATTGATATATTGCCACATGGGCTAGAAAGGGTAAGATGAGGGGTAAAAAACGGAGAAACAAGTAGAAAATGAAGGATGGCATAGCAGTGAAGAATGGATAAAGGGATATAATTGCTTACTTGTTTTTTCCTCGGGGTCTTGATTGATATATGCAAAAGCTTGCTAGACGTCTTTCTCTTCCATACGTCTGCCTCCATGGTGGAGCTATTTGGGCTGATGAGAGGAATATAGAGCAACAACAAGCGAAAGGAAGATAAAGAAAATGTTCTTTTGTATGAAGTCAACCACTTAAGTTTATTGCAATTCTTTATTATTCTTTATTTGTATTAATTATTAAATAAAAAAATTATTTTAAAAGTGTTAAAAAATAAAAAATTTTAAAAATTTTGGGGAGGGTCACAATCCCCCCATAATTAAGCTACCATCTGCCCCTAAATATAATGTGTTGGACACTAACCCAGTTAATCTTCAATTGAACTTAGATGTAAAAGTTTGGGTTTTTTATTAAGGTTAAATTTTGTCACTATGCAATGGATCGATGCTAAACTTCATTATAGTATTTCAATTTTATTAAATTTTGCCATTATACTTTCAATTTTATAGGTTTTTTAACGAAAATGATAAAAATTTATCACTTGCGTCAACAAAAATTTTGTTGAATATTTTAATTATGTTACTTTTTATCTAAAAATCAACAAAATTGAAAATATAATGGCCAAATTCAATAAAATTGACATACAATAACAAAATTTAATATTTGACATAATATACTAACAAATTTAATTTTAATCTTGTTTCTTTTTTGGTAATTTAAAGCTTTGTGATAATTGATTAACTAGTCACTTATCTATTTTTCAGTTAACATCAAAAGTGAGGTTATGATGAATTTAAATTCTTGAAACTTCACCCCTATTTCATCACGTATTCTCTCGGATGTCTTGCTCGATGAGCTTTATGTGCACTTAATCAGTTTTTAGATGAGTTTATATTTTATGCACTAACAATATATAGTTTCTATATACTGTCAACTCACAAAAATATGCCACTTCATTGATGAGGTAAAATAAAAAATATTTAAGGACTTCAGATTAAATATTTAAAAATTTATAATAATTAGTTAAATAAAAAATAAAATATTTTCACTTTTTTTGTCTCTCTCAACCATTACTTAATCAGTTTTTAGATGAGTTTATATTTTTAACATTCAAAGTAAAAAGACTAACACTCGTGGGATGGAACATGTATACAATTCTCATTTATTTAGGTGTTTTTCTAATAAAGGTTCTAAACAATAGAAGTTGATTTATGGTTTTTTGGTGATAGTGTAGGATTGACATTTGAAATTTCTGAAATCATTTACCGGAACCTGTGTCTAGGTGGCATGGATGACCAAGAAAGAAGCATTATATCCAACCAGTTGCACAAATTTAAGACAAAAATCTTTGTCACGCGCAATCTTTTGATTGTTCTTTGATCAATTGACCAAGTTATCTTATCTATTCATTCTTAATCGCACAAGTTCTCCAATCCTTTTAGCGTTTTGGAGAGAAAAGTGAATTTTTCTTAGATGATTTCCTCAATCTCTTTCAACAAAATTCCAAAATCCCTTACCAAATTCTTCAATCTCTCTCTTAGGATTTCAAAAGAATAAAATTGAACAATTTCGTAAAATCTAATTTTAATGAAGGAGGAAAGAGAAGAAATGGTAGAGTTAGAGAGATAAAAAAAAGAACAAGAAAGTGTTGAAAGAGACAAAAAAGTGGAAATATTTTATTTTTTAAATCTCACAAGATTTTTTGTTTTACCTCATTAATGTGTTGGCATGAGTGGACAATGTATATAAACTATATACCTACATCAAATATAAATTCCTTTAGATTGCGGCTTTTTTACACCCTCATATTTTCATGCAAAACCCTTTAACCATTCACACAAAAGGCATATTAAAACTTAAACATAAAAATTGAAACTTTTTATTAATAACTTACTTATTTATATCTGTCAGCATACTAGTTTTTTTTATACATGTAATTTGTTAAGTTTTGTGACGAACATTCAACCTAAAATCAATAACCAATTGACAATAGGCAGAGAGTTCCAAGTTATATTTATATGCCTAAGGTTTGGAAAGAGCAAATACATAGGGGGAACCGTAATGGCCAATTTGTGAAAGGAAAAGCTTAAAGCGCAGAGCATTCAAACAAAAAAAAACCATACAAATGTGCCATTCTACCTAAAATACAAACAAAATAGAGTTGACATAGCATTAAAAATGCATCCAAGATGATGGAGAAGAATGTATAATGATGGTTCTAATAAGTGCAATGAAGAAAACGGCAATGAGTTCATCAATAAAAAGCAGAAGATTCCCACACAATAGAGAGAGACCATAATAATAAGTGAGATCATCAAGGCATAATCAAAATGCAAGACAAAGCTTTTTAAAAATCTATGAAGTTTCGAACACACCTAAACAGTGATCAAACTTGATAACCCTTGCTTTAACAAGCCCATCAACCAAGCTATTAGCTTCTTTATTGATGTAGGCAAAGGTTATATTTTTTATATTGGCTTTGAGAGCTTCGATGGAGTTAGACAGGTTCTTCATGCACCAAGGGACTCAGTTGTGGTCCTTTGCCCAAGCAATGGCATTTTTGGAATCACTTTCAACGTAAAGAGCGTGAGAGGTCCATGTAGAAGAGAGAAAAAATGAGTGACCCTTGTTGAAGTGTGAGGCTCGACTTGAAAACCAGAAGAACAAAAGTTTGAAGTAAGTCGTGCCCAAGAGCTGTCAACATAAAGAAGAAGAAATCATGTGCTTCAGCCACATGATTTATTAAAAGTTTTTGCTATTTTAACATTTTAATGTTAATTCTGTTATTCATCTTTCAAGTTAGTGTGATGTTTCTTCGTGGGGTAGTTTGGCTACATGTAATGGTTTTGTAGAACACTAAGTACTGAGACACTAGTGTTCTAAAAAGTAGTTAGTTACTTCCCATCACTTGGTATTTTATGTTTTTCTCTCTCATGTAACTATATATTTTATATTTGTTTAATGAAAAGTGTGTCGTGGCTTTGCATGTCTTCATGCAATTCTTCTCGTCTTTCATGTGTTTGGGCTTTTGTTAACTCAGTGTTGTGAAGCTAATCAGCTATAGCTGTGGTTAAAAACCTAATTTACCATGGAAGAGCAAAACACATTTAGATGAAACACCATGTTATATGTGAAGCTATTAACAATGGAGATGTCCATCTTAATCATTGTAAGACCGGTGATCGGTTGGCAGATAAAGACAAGTTCGAGCTACTACGTGAAGGACTTGGAGTTCTTCAGGTCAACCTCAAAGAGATGTGTTGAAGAGTGAGGCTCGACTTGAAGACCGGAAGAACAAAATTTTGGAATATGTCATGCCCAAGAGTTGTTGCAGCATGGAGGAAAAGAAATCATGTGCTTCAGCCATGTGATTCATTAAAAGTTTCCGTTATTTGCTATTTTAATATTGTAATGTTAGTTCTTTTATTTAGCTTTTCAGTTAATGTGATGTTTCTTTGTGGGGTAGTACGGCTACATTTAATGGCTTTGTAAACCATTAAACACAAGGACACTAGTGTTCTAAAAAGTGGTCAGTTACTTCCCATCATTTAGTATTTTAGGTTTTTCTCTCTTTTATAACTATATATTTTATATTTGCTTAATAAAAAGTGTGTTGTGGTTTCACATGTCTTCATGCAATTGTTCTCATCTTTCATGTGTTTTGGCTTTTATTAACTTAGTGTTCGTTGTTCACTTGTTAACTCACTGAGTTCATATCTTTTTCATTTTTTGAACAAGCATCTTTGATAGCAAGAAATTCAACGAAGTTGGAATCCTCAATGCCAATGGGGGAAGAAAAGGTCCCTTTAATGAATCCATCATGGTCTCTAATGACACCCTCGATGCCAGCAAGATATAGTTTCCCCAAAGCACAGCAGCACACATTGAGTATGAGAGATCCATTGAGGGGTCTCATCCATTCGTTTGAAGGTTTAGGTTTGCATTTTCTTTTCTTGAAAGTATTTTACTAGGTTCAAAGAGAAAGTGAGTTGCAAGAATGTGATTAAGAGGCCATTTCCCCTTACACCAGTCAGCTAATCTAACAAGGATGATATCCTATAGTTGGCTTGAAACAAGATGTTTGCCTTAAAAGAGAATATCATTCCCAATGATATGAATCACAAGTGTAGGATTTATTTATCACTTCTCTAATACTCCCTCTCACGTGTAAAAGTACCAGATTTATCACATGATATGAATCACAGAGAGACCCATTAAAGGGCAAATGAATGAAGATAATGCCTTCTTTAATAATGTTGAATTTTAGATGACATGGTATCAGAGCAACTACATACCTCCATTTGTTGGCCACTTTATGGGTCTCCCTTCCGTTGATTCATGCCATGTTATAAATCTACAATCCCTACTTATGATTAAATTAGGGGTATCTTGGATATATATATAAATATAAGAAAGACCTCTCCATCTATTGTTAGTTAATTTTAAGTTGGGCACTCGTCCTAAATATTTAACATAATTTGCATATAGACTTGTCCATGGGTCAAGTTGTTTATCACAGATCGTATATCAATAAAAGATGAAATGAATCTAAGGTTTATATATAAGGATTTAGATTGGAAACATGAGCTTGTAATACTATTAAGTAGAGTTTTAGATTTTTAAGGTTTGGGCATGTCATAATCTGATCCAAAAACATATTATTTTAATTAAATTTTAATTTTAAAATATACTTAAAAATATAAAATATTGATATAAAATATTTAATATACTAATAATATACAACATCATCATTTTCTTCCTCTCTCCCCTCAACGTCAGGACTTTCAACCGATTCTTCAATGGAAGATTTCTCCCATGCCAGCATCTCATCCCCCTTTTCACTGTCACTACCTATTATTTGTTGTGCTTTGTCTAACACTTGGATTTTTTTAAGAACAAAAAGTGAGATATTATTAAATCTTCTAACCAGTATGCCATAACAAGTCTTGAACCGATAGAAAACTTCATATGGCATTAAGAGACTAGCTTTAGGATGTGATCAAAGTTATATACAATTACAGAAATCCTAACAAACATCAGTCATAACCCCTGCACACAAGTACTAGGTTTTCACGACAAAAGCTCAACAGCTCGAGGATAACAAGCAACAAAGACCTATCCTGGAAGGTGAACAAAAAACACAAATAGATTTTGAAAGAATAAATTGATAGTCAACATTGCTCCAAAACACTTGGATTTTACTAACTTACACCTTGTAAACCCTATTAGCCACTGTTCATTCAGTTTGTTCATCTATTATTCTCATGTTATTTGTTGGAATCAGCACGATCCCATCACTAAAGTTCTCTCATCAACTTACACTAGATTTCCCCAACACCTAGCAATATTGTTAAAAGTGTTATAGCTCAAGGCATCAACTCCTTGCGCTGCCAGCCACTTATAATAGCTTGACACTGAAAAATCTTCTGACCACACTTCGATGGAAGCAAAGCATTGGTTGAGCCAATCTGATATATTTCTCTTCAGCTCCTCAAATTCTTTATTGTCGCCAGATGAAATAAGGGAGTGATTGGGTGCCAAATTCCTAACAACTTCTGGCAGCTTTCCGTATTCAGTTAATCTTGTAAGCTTTCAGTTGTCACTAGATCCTCAAATACAGATGTTTCTTCTCTTCAAGCATTGAAGATTCTCAAAATTTATCTCTCTTTTACACTTCTTGGATTCAATGTGTCCTCTTCTGGGGCTGTTCCCTTCAAAACTCATTATGCTCTGCTCTTCCTCTTACCACCTGCGTGTAAGACGTCCTTATGTACGCTTTTCTCATTGTTTGTCCGCATTTTTCATCACCCTTCTGACTCCCTTAGCTTTAGTTCCCTGTTGCCATTCCCTTCTTGTTTTCCAAAATGATTCATATCCCCCGTACTTTGGAATGTTGACCCCCAACTTGTGATTAAATAGCCATATCCCATTTTGCTTGTCCATTGCTCTCCTTGCTTTTGTTTCATGTTTGAACCTAACGAATCCAAACCTCTTCCCTGTTCTACTCCTTCTCTAGCATTGTAAAAACATCGTTCACCTTACCCTGATGCTCAATTATTTCAATGAAAATAACAGCTTAATGCATCTACAATTTATTCTAGATAAATAAATATTCTACCCAATTTTTTACAATGCTAAACTAATTATATTTTGCCCAATTATAATCTACTAATTTTTAAGATTCTAAACATTTTCCTGAAAGGTTGCTTTGTTATGAATTTATTGTAGAATAAGTACACTATTAGTAATTAAAAAATAATAATATAATATATAGCATAATTGAAATTTGATTGAAAATTTAAAAAAAAAGTAATATAGTCTTCATAAAAGCTTCACACCCCTAAATCTAACTCCATATATATATAAAACAAATAAATTTGAACTTAAGTATTCGTTTTTCCGATGACATTAAACTTTGAAATAATTGGTTAAAAAAGAGGTTGGATAAATGCCATCAAACGCCCAACAGTCTATTCGTTTATCTATTCAAGATAAGTTCTGCTTTTCGTTTTGTAACAGCTGATTTGATTCTCACCAATATAAGAACAAATAGAAGAGTATATGCTGAAAGTGTTACCTAGAAAAGGCCAATAACTAAGGACATTGGACTCCTGTACTTGCACGAATAATTTTCTTGGGAGTGTAAATAAGCTTATAACTATAGGAACCGTACAAGTTCTTTTTTTTTTTTCTTTTGTTTTATCTTTTGGTGTGTTGAAACTCGCAAGGAAGATGAATGAATCTGTTGAACTCTGCCTGCTTTATTGTACCTGCTTCCATTTTTAATGGATAGGGAACTTTCGAGTGATTCTCTCTCTCTCTAAATATATATATATATATATATATATATATGTATAGTGATCGTGTGTCATCTCCGTTTTATGGCGATGGCTGGCATTTTACCTGTGCATGGTTCCATCAAAACTTATGAAACTAGCAGATATTGCTTGCTTCTTTCTTGTTTATTTTTTTTAGTTCTTTTTGTCCTTTTATCTGGATTCTCAAATTGGGATTTCACTTTCAAATCACCTGTCCAAAGCATTTGCAATCCTAGTATACAGAAGTTCTAAGATATATAAATTTATATGCCCTCTGTTTAGTGTTAACTGAATACAGACTACTTGGTGGCACGGCAACCTTTCTATTCTGCTCTACAAAATCTACGTAATAACTATATAAACATATATATCATGGGCTCACAAAATCTTATTAATGTAAAATTCATGACATTTTATTCCATCCAATTATATAATGTTTTCGTTGTACAATCTCTTTCATTTATATAAAAAAAAATTATTTTTATTTGAATTTATTATCATCTATAAAGAAGTGACCTCGACCCTTATATTTATGAAGGTCATCCATATAAGTGAGAATTAGATAAATTCTTATATCTTTATTTATAAATCCTAAGACTTACCCTATTTGTTACTAACTTGGGATTGGTGCCATTAATGATTTAATTAAATCAATGAATTTTCAGGCATTTCATATTATGTTTAGAATGGCTTGCAGGCACCTTGCAGCTTGGACACAGCTACCTGATTACTTTTAAAATCGAAAACAAATTCTCCCAAGAAGTCTTGACCAGGTGAGTTTCTTAAATTGTACGATGTATTATTGCTAGCTGAAGGCAGTAGCCTGGGCTTTCTTCTCATAAAGAAACAATTAATACATGTACAGTCCAACAATGACATAATGAATTAACATTTCATTCGAAAACATTGATTGCTGCTGGCATAAATGAAGAGCAGTACTCTCAAACCTTGTGGAATTTAAATCTAAATTACAAAGCCTCAAACTCCAAATTCCTAAGCGCAATATCCGCATGTTACTGGAATTAATATACTCTTTAAAATTAAAACATGGGTTAAGATTTATTAACAAATCATTCATAATCACATACTGAAATCAACTCTATGCTTGCACTACTGTTGCAAGTTGCAACTCTCAATCTCCCTTCAAACCACACAAAAGCACACAGAAAAAACCATAAAGAAAAAAAAAAAAAGAGAGAGATGAAAAGAAGAGTCAAGGACCTTGATAACCTCTCTTCAATATTGTTGCCAAGTTTGGTTTGCCCACAACTCAGTGTGATCATGAGAGCACAAGTTAATTTATCTGAGGACCACTGCCACTACTTGTCCCTGGCCTTGTTGGAGCAGAAAGAGAAATTACGAGACCCGGGTCGTCTTCCTGCATAGAATTGAACCATGCTTCTCAAGAATGCATGCATAAAGCTATGAACATACAAAATAATGAAGTCAGCAAGCTTACTGTGGTGGAAGGAGGATCAGCTGGTGGGTCGTCTGTCACTGTGCTTGGAGGATCTGACTGGTCTGTTGTTGAAGTTGGATCTGCACCTGCTTCAAGGGAAACCATAGGGGACTCCAGGCAACCAGCTTGAGTATTACCATTTACTGTACCATCATCTTCTTTCTTTGGACTTGAAGGGTCTTGATGGAATTCGTTTTCAAGTCCCAAACACCTAAGAATAGCCCTTATAACTTCATTAAAAGACCAAGGGTAGTAACCAGGAGTTGCTTGCGCTGTCACCTCCCTAGTTGATGAAGCATCTTCCATTGTTTCCTCTCTAAGCTACCTTCTTCTTCCTTCTACTATTCCTCGTTTTTATTAGCCCTCTTAAATGCTGGATTCGGTGGTCTGCTGGTCAGCAGTGCTTTAAACTCTTTAACCGTTGAGTGACGAAAGTACAAAAGTATCCCCTAATTGCTTCGTCTTTTTATCAAATTCACGTTGAGTTATAAACCATACTGATCAAAACAAAATCCATATTTTAACTGTTTCTATTGGTATTTGGATTATTTAATACATCCCATAAGCTTTCGCAATTAAAAACTTGTTTATTGCTAGAGATATTAATGGATACCTTACAATCAGGTATCTTATATCATCAAACTCAATTAAGTAAGACAATTAGGTGATTTTTGTGAAATTCTTCATGAAATGAAATTTTACTTACTTTCGAAAAAAAAAACGATAGATTAAGGTATTCTTATAATCAAGTTCGAGTAAGATTCTAATAGTGAAACTACTCCCTGTCACGAACTCAGGCAGTGGCTTAAATACCCATTATCCAAACTCAATTATAAATAATAACTTTTAATATTCAATTTTAATTTTATATATATTATTTTTTATTTATAAATTTTTTATAATTAATATAATATTTATTAAAATTTATTAATTTTTTTAAATATAATTTTCAATTTTAATTCTTTTATGAATTAATTTTAAAATATTAATTTAATTTTTATTTATAATATACATAAAAAGTTAGTTTAAATTTATTTTAATCGCATGTTAAACAAGTACGAGTATTCAACAAGTAATGTCTAACATATTAGGATAAGGATTCAAGTAGTAATTTAAAATTTAATTCAGTAATTATAGGATTTAGATACCTTATAAAATAATAAAATTCAAATTAAAGTAGTTAAAAAATAATAAGTACCCTACTCATTGACATAAGCAAACTCATAAAACTTTATTTTATGACATGAAATTGAACTTGGAGGGGTGACTTAGTCATCCATTAATAATATGTAACTTCACTATATGAAGAAGCACACAATCTTTTGATCATTACTAATTTAACTATATATAGTTCAAATCGTTGAAAGATAGTAGTATCGACATTGATTATTATCCTTATATGCTTAAAGATAATTAAAACTTAAAGTTCGAATTCTCTCTCTCTCTCTCTCTCTCTCTCTCACACACACACACACACACACACATATAATTATACATGGAACAATTTTAATGACTTGGTTTTGATGAATCTTATTTAATGAGGGATAAGTAATATCTAATTACGTTTGAAAATTAGTAATCCCAACTCCCAAACCTTCTCATTTATGTTATGTTTTACATATGTTTATTTATATTTATATTATGTTTTTGTAAAAGTTTTATATATCAGGAAACCTTATGCTCTGTTTTTCTTAATCTTTAAAAGTCTTGCTGAAAGTTTTCTTCCCTCAATTCTTTGAAACACAGTATCAGACCCATTGATTAACAGCCCATTCGCCTTTGTTTTTCTATATTTTAAGCATATCTTTGTCTTCTACCTTTTTGTTTTTTGAAGGGTATAGCAATTGCTAATAAAAGAAAATTACATTATAATCCAATGTTTACGTTGAAAAAAATCAAAATATGCAATGAAAATAAGTTCATTCAAATATGATTTTCTTATTTATAATACAAAGAGGCATTATGGTTGAAACCTAATACCATATTTATATGTATATCCTAACTACTCTGACACAAAAATTGATATTCTAAACCTAGAAAATTCGTAATTAGCAAAGCAAAATTAAATTGTGAAGGGTAGGAAGGTAAATGAAATGTGTATGAGGTGTATTAAAAAAGAAAATGTTGTATGTGGTAATTAATATTATTAAAGAGGCTGGACAGGTGTGCTACCTACTGCAGGGAGGGATGTCAGATATGACACATAATTAATTCGTGGAAGCTCTCTGCTTGTCTTTGTCACCTAATCATTTATTTAAAGGCTTAAATGAGGTATTAGCCAAACAAATACCAAATACTGAGATTTCAGATCTGTCTAAGAACCATCTTAATAAATATAATACCCAAGTCAAAGCCCGCGCAATTGCTATAAAAAAATGCCTTTAAAAAAAAAACCATAGGTAGAGGAATTACCAGTTGTTGTTTATCTTAACTATAAAATGGCTTTTATGGGCTCATTTTATAGATTGTTAAATCCATACTGATGGTGAGATAATATTAATGCCATGAAAAGTTTTATGGTTGGATTTTTTATTGTGATGATGTTGCTTATAACAGTCAAAGTGTCAATTTATGTACTTATGATTGTTTACTTCTTGATTGTGCTGAGTTTGTTCTAAGGATCTTTTGTAATTCTTTTAAAGCCGTTTAGAGATTTTCAGCATTATACGATATTTTTATTAAGAATTATGTTCAATGAACTTGTTCTTAACAAGTATTTATATGTTAATTTAAATATTCTCATGTTTCAATTTATGAGATGGTTTACTTCATTGATATGCCAGAAACATAATTATGTGTTGGCCTCTATGTTTTATTAATATCCATTTTTCTTAATAAAACTTTGATTAGCAACAATTTAGAAATAATACTTTGATGGGATGCAAAGCATATAACATTTCATAGCCTTTATTTCAACTAAGCAACATTTATAGGTCTTTTAGAAATAAAACAAATACCTTTTATAAATAGTAAATGCTTCAATATAAGATGCATCTTTGTACAACCAACCAATTAGCTTGCAAGGCATACAGCAACACTATAAACCCCATGCTCATAAAGAGACCCTTTACATTTGTTTCTCACCTAATTAATTTTTTTTTTACAAAAAAAAATGGCTGGGATATGATCTTTTGTATTTAAACTTTCATATTTTGCGACGATGTGATTGATAATGGATGTATATTTAAATTGATGAGTTTTGTGCATAGTTTTAAATGAAAATCTCTCCTTAAGTTGATATTTGCTTGAATGATTACAAAAATGGAGAATGCCCAATTATTCCTTGCAATAGTGTTTGTGTTTGCTTGATGATGGTTTGGTAATTATTATAAATGACCCTTGAACATATGAATTTGGGTGACTATGTTGGACATCCACTTGAATGCTATTCACTTTCACTTTTGCGTTATAATTTCTTAAGGGGAATTATTTAAAAGATTTTTAGTTATCATGTTTTCCATATAAAAAAGGAGAGTTATATTTTTTATTATATTTTAAATCGATCCTTCCATCTTTAGATCAAGCTTAAACCTCGAACTCTCTTTCTTCATAATTTTTAACATGATCACGCTGGTCCTTTCCTTATTATGCTTTCATGTTGCTTTCCTTTTTGCTGTGACCCAAAGAGATAGAATTCTTGAAAAGGAAAATTTGTACAAATTTGATCTAGTAGCTTAACTTGACACATTTTTTAAATCTTTTAACCTTGAAACCCTTTGAGGAGGAGCTTTTCAAACTTTTCAAAATATTTTAAACTCTCCTCATTGTTTTTTAAAGATTAGCACTTCACAATATATTCATAATTAAATTTAAGGAGAGCTTCTTTTTTTTTCAATTCTATTGAAAAGATTAAAGAAATTTTCAGTAAGCAAATTTCTCCCAAAAAGACATAATGTTTCAAAAAACCCTTAAACTATTCAAAAAAAATGAAATAAATCTTTATCTTTCCATTACGTTTAGTTAAATCCGTGTACTTTTATTTTGAATCAAATAGGCTCTTATGGCTAATAAATTATTAATTGTCATTAGTCAAAATACCACTTATCATTTTTAGACACACATGATGTTGATGTGGCGTTAATATGAAAAAAAAAATCATATGGTCATGTCATCATGTCACTTTAGCATACCACATTATCATCAATTAAAATATGTTAATATACTACGTGACATAAAATGACAAGTGATATTTTAATTTATAATAGTTAGTCAAGTATTAATTATAGAGGCTTATTTGGTTCAAAATAAAACTATAAAGACTTGACTAGACACAACAAAAGAATAATGACTTATTTGAATTTTTTTTGAATAGTTTAAGGGTTTTTTTCGATATTATGTCTCTTAAAAATTTTGTCATATCGAAATGTAAAAGGTTCTTAACTTTAAATATATTCTTAGTTTGAAATGTTAAAAATTATGATCAAAATCACTCTAATAAATTCTATTTTAAATTTTTTATTTTCGAAATTCCTTAAACGATTTCTTTTAAGCTCAAGAAATATTCAAAACCTTAAAATACTTTATGAAATTCAATTCATGTATATATCAAGTATTTAAGGTCATTCTAAAATAAAGAAAACATTTTTAAAGTATCAGAAGTATTTTAAAATGAATGGTTCAAAGTAGAAGATAAGGTTAATAATAAATCTTAAAAAGCTACAATAATTGATTCCTAGGTTTAAGGTGTTTTGTTAATAAGCTCAATATGGATAAATCCAAAAGAGGGTTCAATTGGATTGTTTTGAAAATTTTGAAAAATTCTTTAATTTTCAAGAACGTAAAATTTCCTTTTTAATTTGAATGCTCAATTTGAAGCTGAACAAACTAGTTGACTTCTTAATTAGTGGAAGAAATTTAAATATCTAATAAAAGTAAGAGTAAAAAATTCAACACAAGTATTTATAGAGGTTCGGTTTCTTTGCCTACGTCCTTTCCCTTATATTCACTAAGGAGTTTAAAATCTACTATTTGATCAAAGTTCAATACAATGCCTTTTGTAGATCCAATATAATGTTTTCATACAATGCCTTTTTATGGTTAAAGGACAACCACTCTACCTTTTCTATTGGTTAAGGTATAACCACTTAAGCAACTACGATAAGAGGAATATAAGTGCAACTAATGTGCATCTTAAAGGCTGAATAGAGAATTTGGTACAATGTTTAAATAAAAAGATGAGAGTTCAATAAATGCTTGACTAGAAGACCTTTAGAATTTAAGAAGAGTACAATGTGTTTTGGCTAATTCTTCTTTCTTGAGTTGTGTTTTCAAATCTTCTAACTTTCATAAATGCTGAAGAAGCTTATATTTATAGTTATTAAAGCTTCAAAGGTAATTGGGGATGCATTTA